TGTATCTTTTTCTTTCAAGAAGGACCAAAATGCTGTATCAAATCCAGACAAATATAGTTATTGGTATTTGAAGACTAGGATATTATTTTATAATTAATTTTTAGCCTGGGAAAATATTTCACAAACAGCATCTTCAAAGGACTATTGTATATGTAAGTGAGTGTACAAACCAGTGATAAAGGATTATCACAGATACATCCTGTCAAGATAAAGTAAACTTATTTTGGGGGTGATTTTACAGTGCTGCGTGCATCCAAGTCATCAGGCTTCAGAGCAGGGGCTCATCTGGCTGGCCTGTGTGCTGGGAGCGCACAGCTGCGTCTTTCTTTCCCAGAGTGGGGTTTCGTGTGGATGCCTCGCTGTTCCCTTGTGTGACTGTGTTTTCCAGAAACTACTGGCTGATTTATCTACTTGGTCCCCTGGAAGGGGTATCTTTAGGCCATTCTTTGAAGGGCATTGCCCCGGTGCACTTGCTTTGAGTAATGGATTTTTATTTTTCTTTTTTGGTATAAAATTCTTAATAGGAAACAGCAGTACTTTCTCCTAGGAGGAAATCTGATGTAAATGTAGCCTTTAGTTAAAAAATAAATGGATAGTGAGAAAGCATAGTATGTGTGCGTCCACATCCTGTAGGGAGAGTGTGTAACATGCTAGAAGATGTGTAGGTGGCGAATCCTGTGCACCTCTCCGTTGTGTCCCGGCTTAGGGACAGACAGTGGGGTTTCCATGGAAGTGACTCCTTGGGCTTTGCTGGAGTTGAGTAGGAAGCTCACCATCCACCTGGAAGAAGGTTATGATTCTGAGAGGGGTTTGAGCTCTCTTGCTCTGCACATCTATAATGAATCCTATAGCATGTGCCATATGTAGAAATGAGAGACTTTTTACAAAGGCAAGAAGTGACAGGACAAGGAGGAATGGCTTTAAACTGGAAGAGAGGAGATTTAGATTAGATATTAGGAAAAAAATCTTCACTGTGAGAATGGTGAGACACTGGCACAGGTTACCCAGAGAAGCTGTGGCTTCCCCATCCCTGGCAGTGCTCAAAGCCAGGTTGGATGGAACTTTGAGCAACTTGTTCTAGTGGAAGGTGTCCCTATTCATGGCAGGGGGGTTAGTACTGGATGAGCTTTAAGGTCTCTTCCAAACCAAACCTTTCTGTGATTCTACTCTGCTATACTATATATTTAAAATACTGTCTAGTAGTCAGGATAGTTTTGTTTAATCTTAGGAGGTGTGTGCTTATTCTATGATCTGCTTCTGATAGGACTTGGCTCAGTGAAGCGTGTGGGACACAAAGTCAGTTGTCTGTTGTTTATGGTGAGGAGGTGCTGGAGCATAGAAAATAGAAGCAGCTGAAAAACAGAAAATAATGCAAATAGAAAATAGTAATTTGCATAAATAGATAATAGAAAAACCTGGATGAAACCAGACGTGAGGGAGACTGGTGGAAACTCATAGCCTGGCTGTGGTCAAGCAGCCTTACATCCAGCAGGCTCATGAGCATCAGTTCCAGTGGTGCCAGTGGTGCCAGTTTCTGAGCAGTAGTGGGCAACGAAGATGGGAAAAGCCATCTTCATCTGTAGCACAGTTGTTCTGCCAATAGCCTATCCACTAGTAATGGGCATGTCTGTAGTTCCACCTGATAAGGGATACAGCTGACTGTGTAATCCAGTTTCTCTCTCTCCAAGCAGATGTAAAACCTGTTGTAATGTGTCTATGTCCCTTCTTGCAAGACAGAAGATGCTTTTGGTTGCATAAAGATAGGCTTTATAGTGCACAGAAAAATTAATCTCAAAAGGTTAATACTGGAGAAGGCTACAAGAAAATAAATATATGATCATGCCGTCTATGTTGCATGCTAAGCACATTGTGGAACATGGGGTAGCACGAGCCACCAGCTTAGCCTCATGGCGAGGCAATGTGCATGTGGAGGGGAGGGAACCAAGTGAGAGGGGGGAAATAGCTGCAGCCTTATAAATAAAGGATCTTGTTATTGGAAGATTTTGTGTAGCAGTCTCCCTTAGTGGAAAAGACAAGCTGTGTGTACCTGCCTGTTCCTATAGCTGTGTGAGTGTTGCAAAGGTGTTAGGAGGGGAATAGCTGCAAAGCAGAGACCAGAGGTGGTGGTGAATTTAACACAGCAATTATCGAGCACAATTTTGCGAGCCAGAAACCATTCTGTGATTTACCATTACTTGCATTGTAAAAGCACTCAGTCTTGGTTTTCTTTAACCATGTAAGACCTGAAGAAGAGAGCCTTTGGTTATTAATGTCTGTGTGTACGTAACTGATCTTCCAGCCCTAAAAATTACTATTTCACAAAACCAACCCAGGATGCTGCTTCATCTAATTTGGTTCTTATGAGAATTTACGCTGTGCAACCCAGTGCCAAAAGTGGTTCTCAGTGTGGTTTTGTATATATATGGTTTGTGCATAGACCCTTAAGAGTACCAAATGGCAAATTTTATTCCGGAACTAGACTTTATGTGAACACGGTTTTCCACAGAGATGATTAAAAATAGGATTCATTCTGTGGTATTTTAGCCATTTAAAATACTTTTATATAAAGTAGGATAAATATCCAAAATATTCCATCTTCCTGTCCAGAAGCTATCTCCCCTGAACAATGTAAGTAGTTTCATAATGCTTGTATTAATCCAAATACATAATTAAATATTACAATACATCCATGTCAACCTTTTCATCATGCATAAAACAGCATCTAAAGTGAAGCTGTTTAAAAAAAAAAAAAAAGAAAAAACAAACCTGTGTTCCAGCAGAAAACATCATCAAAGGTGTTCTCATGCAGGATTTTATCATGTTATTTCAGTGCTGCATTTCCAGGGTTTTCTTTTCAAACCTCTTTTTGTGTGTGTGTGTGTATTAAATGGAAAATCCTTGTTTGAATGAGGCACTTGATGATGGGCTGTTGCCATCTTCTGTTTGTTCAATTGCACTGCGTTGCATAAGATGCATGTAAAAATTGATTGCTCCAAACACCTGTCAGTTTCTTGCAATCTGCATTTTTAAGTTGTCTGTTTATTTTTTGTAAGGGCAGCTTTTACTCTGGGCAAACCTGATTTAATCCCTGGTGAAGTACAGGACAAAATTATTCACATAAACATTGTTCAGTTTACAGGATTACATGCAAACATATCCTTGTAGCCTAGAATGTCCAGATCCATCCTCCCTGCTGCTGCCTCATCCTGCTGAGGTGTCTGAGGAGGCTGCCGCAGAAGGGGAGGAGGTGTCAGGGCTGTGCAGCGGTGGAGCTGCCTGTGTTCTGCTCAGTGTATGTGAACCGTGTGTGCGGGCTGGTCTTGAAAAGCTGTGAATTCAGGGTGGTCTCTGCTGTCTCAAGGCAACTTAATGCATGCTTCTGGCTCCCTGCGTTCCCCTCCTCTGCAGATCCTACTCCCAGCCTCTGGGGTGCCTGTGCTTGCCCTGTCCCCGCCTTCCCAGCTGGTGTCCCTGGCTGAGCTGCTCTGAGCTCCCAGGGAGTGTGGGAGACACTTAGGACCTGTGCCCTTTGGTGGGAGATGGATGCCCTTGTAGAGTGCAGCCATCAAGGGAGGAGGAACTTGTCTTTCTGCCTCTGCCTCACCCTGAGAGGTCCTGGGGTGGAGGAGCTATTGGAGAGCAGCCTTGGACCCTGTTGTGACTCTTGCTGCCTGATTGGCATGGGTTCCCTAGCCAGCCTGGCCACCTGGCTCCCTCTGCAAGTGCCAGCTGAATGTTTGTGCAAGTGGTTGTGACAAGTGGTTTTGTTTTCTTCTGCCATTGTTGTAAACAAATCTGGAGTGCTGTTGACTGCTCATGTGGTGTGAAGCCTACCAGAATCTCATTGAAATGACTTGAGATGTCCCAGCCAACTTTAGCTCTGGTGCGTATTCTCCAGGACTTGGTTTCTTCTTTTAAATAATGTAGTTATTACATGTACTTATTAAAATCAAGTCTTTCTCATGCAGCAGCTGCTGGATTAGTCTTTTATTATTCCTTTCTTCTTGCCTTGATTTTGGACACTCTCCCTTAATACATCCTCTGCCCTGGTGGTGTGTACCACAGTGTAAAATAATACCTGAACGTATTGCCTGAACTGCTCTCTAAAAATGAATTTCACCTGTCTATTGCACACAATTTTTCCAGGAGCTGAGAGCAGCCAAAGTTACAATCATGTTGAGCAAAAAAATTCCAGTGCTTTATGTCTTATTGTTGTTGTATTAAGCAGGCATAGAAAGTGCTGGGAAACTGAATTTTCAGCTTGGTGTTGGTTGCTCAGACTTGTCACATGCAAGTCTTAGAGTCTGTCAAGGGATCTTTTTTGTTGTGTCTTCACTTAGAATGAGGTTAATGGGAGTTAAGAGTTGTTTTAAACAGTCTTTTTCTTTTTTTTTTTTCCTTCCCCTCCCCATTTTTTTTTTTTTTTGGTGTGCGTGTGGTGTCTGTTGTTGTTTGTATGCTTTGGTTTTTGAGATGCGACTTAAACTAGTGTCATGTTTGCATTTTTTCTGTTTGATATTTTGGAAGGGGTGAGAAGCACTTCAGTAGGTTTGATCTGTGGACAAGATGGTGCTGTCAGCACCACAAATGCCCAAAAGCTGAGATACTGTTGGCTGGTGACAAAGCACCATTTCTGCAGACTGAGCCCTGCTGCTGCCCTGCCTATAGGCATGATGAGGGGTCTCTCCAGGACCAAGTGCCACTTCCTCCCCTCTCCTTTGCTTGCCTCAAGCCCTTCAGCAGCCATACACCACACCTAGGGATATTGACTTGTCTTCTTGGATCCTTCTCTGAGGCCAGAGCTTGTCTGTCTCAGCTGGAGCCTCCTGGAGCTCCAGATTGGTTTCTGAGCCAACGTCCTTAGCATCTGTTGGCCTTTAAAAATCCCAACAAACCAAAACAACCCCCACACCCTCTGAAGTGAACCTGATCACCATGTGGATTTAAGCATTTGGATTTTGAGATGGATATTAGCCAGCTGAAACAGAAAAGCTGTTCATATCTGAAATTTCTTAATGAACTTCCATGGTCAGATATTCAAAGATGTTTTATTTACGTGGTATACAAACATTCTCATGAACTAGCAAAAGTCTCTGTGTGGGTGATGTCAGACATCTGTGTATTCATGGTATATGCGCACTTCTGATCTTCTAACGCTCTGAAGTGATCTGATACTCTCACTCCTGGTTCTCATATTTGATTTTCTAAACAGCCTTCTTGAGAATGATCTACACATGAAAAAGTAAATTATTGGATCCAGACAGACATTACATGCAGACAGGAACAGTGTCATTTCCTTACAATAATACAAGATTTTATGTGCAGAGTCATCTAAAATTTTATCTAGATGGCTAAATGTGAAGGGTATTCTGCACAAATGATACGGCAGAAAGCAAGTGAAAAATACAGCCACAACAACCCTTATACTTTGATTATGCTTTCGCTTTCTGCTTGATGAACTAATAAATTGTTTGCTTGATTTATAAATGTACCTAGATATCGCAATATAACATCCTATCAGTACAATCAGCACCACTACAAACATGCAAGTGTTGATGTAAATGACAGCTGTGTGCCACTTGACTCCTAGGGGAGACTTGAGCTTTATGCAGTCGTCAATGTTTTTCTTTGTCGGGTAGCCATTGGTAAGAATCAGGTTTGGCAAAGCTAGGAAAGCCATGACAACCCAAACGCAGGCAGATAGAATCTTGGTGAAAGTGATGCTGTACATCCTGGAGTCTCCAAAAGGCTTCACTACTTTCAGGTAGCGGTCGATGCTGATGAGTCCAAGGAACACAATCGTGGTGTACATGTTTGTGTAAAACAGAACTGTGGTGTATCGGCACAGGAAAGAGTTGAAGTGCCATGGTCCCAGCTGCGAGTCCTGGATTATCTTGAATGGGAACGTCAATGTCATGAGAAGGTCTGCAACCACAATGTTTTTGAGGTAAAATATAAAACTTGTTTTATTTCTGATGTGGAAAAAAATCCATACTGCTAGGCCATTCAGCAAGATGCTTGCCAGGAAAATGATGAGGTAAAGCACAGGCAACACGATAGTGGTGAATTCGTTGTGTGTAGAGTTCCCAAGTAAGCCTGTTGTGAAATTGGGTGAGGTATTGTTGTCTTGGCTCAGACGGTCATCTGTGGGAATGAGGGAGAACAAGAAGTTTCAAGTATGTTTCTAGCGTTTTACAAGTGGGGCTGTTTTAGAACTGACCTGTAGAAAATGTCCTATCTCTGGGCAATTCCAGATTAACCAGCCTGGAAAACCTGCCTTTAAAATAGTGTCCTAAGTACTGCACATGTGTCCTGGGTTTAAACCACGACAACATGTCAAAATAAATATGCCTCTGGCTTGGTAGGTTTCAAGCCCATCATCTGTGCTTCTTGCTGAACTGTCAAGGTGCTTCTGCATATAGCTTGATAGGGAAAAAATGCAGGATGTGGGTGTGTGTATATTCCCAAGGTTTCCATGCTGTGTGTGAGCTCCCTACCTGCCCTTGCTGCTGCCCTGCAGGTTGGAAGACCGTACAGCCCAGCTGAGTGCAGTGTGAAAAGGGTTGGATTCCCTTCATCCATCTGCTATCCAAGGGGAGCGGGGCACACCCCGTGCTGCAGGTTGAGGGCTAGTCTCACACAGGGGTATGGACAAGAGCAGCTGCATGCCAGTGTGCTGGGAACGCAACGTTAATGTTATGGGGCACCAGTGCTTGGCTCTCTTCACAGATTGCGACTTGTGAGCTGAGGTGATCTGTTTATCAAGAGATGGGACTCTGGAGAGACTCTTCAGGCCTATTAAAACACTAATTTAAAACTTGGCTTACTTAAACGTATTTAAAAATCCCAGTGTCTGGGGTGTTAAGATTTTATGTCTAAATATTTGGAAAAAACTTCAGACTTCTAAATTATCTCATGAAACTATAGCATGCTTTATTTCATAGAGTTTATACTCTGAACTTGGCTGGTGTGATAAGCCAGGACTGACACCCATGGGCAGCGAACAGCAGTATTCAGACAGCCTTTTCTGAAATTACTTATTTCTTTAAAGTGTTGGGAGGAATTGATAGTAATACAATAAACACTTCTCAGTCAAATAAATTTCCAATGCTATTTTACCTGGCAGTTTTCCATATGACAAATTGTACCCCATCATTTGTGTTGCTGTAGGTTTTCAGCTGAAATGCTTTTCAGGAGTCCCACTGGCTGCTGCTGTAGGTCCAGGATGTGGCATAGGCTGTGCCAGCATTATGTTCTGGGGAAAACAAACTGGAATTAAACCCAAAGCAAAACAGAAGACCCTACCTCCCTCTCCCCAGCATGGAGAGGAGCTTTGTAAGATGAGCATCCTCTAGAATTCCCAGGGAAAGGGCTGAGGCGTGCTGCTGGCTGACCTTTGGATACTGCACAGCTGTTCTGCTGTCACGGTTATCACTGCCACATCTTTACTTATGGCTGGGTGCCTGCTTTATCGTTGCAGGCAATTCTGCCATGGTAGCTTTTGTAAGCCTATCAGTTTCACTGTTAAACATATTTTTCTTTCTTTGCCTCTCTAACAAAGCTGTGCTGGGGCCTTATCTCTGTAATATTTAGAAACATTATTGCAATTTCCAGCCTGAATGTCTCTGTTGCCACTTTCTGTCCTGTATATTCTTGTACCAGTGCCTTTCACTTAAAGAACCCATCTCCATCTTGGATACTTAGCCCCCAGCGTATGTATCTTACTCTAGTGATGAAGCAAGCTCAAACCCTTCTCGTATTTCTTCAGGACTTGAACGTACCCTTCTCTGTGTCTGCTCCAGTTAAGATAGCCTTCTTTGAAGTCCACTGCCAAATTTGTGTGCTGTTTTACAAACGAGACTTAAGAAAAGGTTGTTTCATGGTGGTTGAGTTTCTTGTCACCACTGAAACACCTCATCTAACATTTTCTGGGGTTTCACTTGCTCAGTTCCTCCGTACATCATAATGCAGTGCTGGGATCAGCACTGACACACTTCCTGTCCCCTTAATACTTCACAGGGGTCAGCAGCAGCGTGTACCTTTCTTCTTATTGTCCTTAGCTGCATGATCTTGCAATTTTTATTCCAGCAGACTTCAGTTCAAGCTTGTTAAGTTCTGTAAAAATAGGTTGGATTTCAACTAAACTTGTCTTATTTTGATTTCTTTCAAAAATTTTGGACTAAACCTTTGCAAGAAGTTTGTCTCCTAACTGCCAGAACATTCTGGTTTGGTGGCTTCATGCCCGTGTTATGGCTGCCTCTACAACTGGCTTCTTACTTCTTGATAAAGGCCCTTGACCTCATTCCCCGCATCTCTTGCTTGGACATCATATTTGTTTATGTTTGATCTTGGATGTTTCAGTGACAGAAGCTTGTCATCTCTCACTTCTTGAAGTAAAAAAGTTTCATATAATTGTGAGATATGTGTGTACAACTTTATAATGTGTCTGTGAAATTGGGGTGGAAATTGTAAGTTGTTGTTCCTCTCTTACCGCTTTAAATGAAGAACTTCAAAAGCCAGTCTATGGGGAATACGGAAAAACTGCAGAATCTGGTTTTTGCTGTGATGGCATTAGAATGTTTTGACACTGTTCACAGAAATTTTGACAACACTGATTTGTAAGACTGCATTCCAGATTATTGCTTTAACCTTGTAGTACACAAAAGCATTAGTTTTACCATGCTTCACTTTGTGTTTACAGGTTTTGATAGGAAAACTAGCAAAATCTTAAATAGTTTGGGTTGGAAGGGACCTTCAAAGGTGATCTAGTCCTACCGCCCTGCAATAAACAAGGACATGTCCAAGTAGATCAGGTTGCCCAGAAACACATCCAGCCTTGAATATCCCCAGGGATCTACCACCTCTCTGAGCAACCTGTGCCAGTACTTTGCCACCCTCACTGTAAAAAAATTCTTCCCTCAGCAATTACAGTAGACCTGACTGCCTTTCTTATGGGTATGAACAGATGCTAAAATTACTGAAGCCCTTTTGCAGATCTATACTACTTTTATGACATCACTGCATTATGAACTGTGTTGAATTGTCACTAGATGGCAGTAAAGCAAATCATTACATTTTAAAGTGTCAGTAAAAATTTTAATTCTGATGTTTCAAGCTTATTATTGGTTGGCTTCTTGTCTGTCATTATTTGCTCTTATAATAACTGGGGTCCATAATGAAATTGTCCGGGGTATTTTAGATATTTTGTTTTCTCTTGGTCTGAGAAGCAGTAACCTATCACTTTTTTGCTGTTGTTTATAATTTGCAGCTATCCTTTTTATGCCCAGAAGGCAGAGAGATCAAAAGAATATGTGATTTTATGAAAAGATGCATATCTATAGTCTTATGCAAATAAGGTGCTTATTTCCCTGCTTTTTAGAGTTCCTTTCAAGTCTGTGTAATTCCTGGTCCTGGCCCCTGGAAAACTCCCTGTTCTCAGACTCTTCAGGAGGGTGCTCTCCCAGATCCTCAGTCCAGAGAAACTGCAGAAGTATTGCCTGGGTTGCCTGGGATTTGCAGCAGTGTGACTGCTGGCTCTGGTATTCCTGTGCTTTAACCCTTGGAAATGCTGAGGGGTTTGATGGAGCTGGGGATCAGATTTGTGCTAGAGGGACTTCGCATGTACTGTCGGTCAGTCTCTAGGTCCCAAAGGGATTTGCTTTAAATCCTGTCAAAAAAAGGCTCCTTCCTTTTTCCACATCTATATCCGTGCTTTTAGGTGGATGTTGTCATTAAGAGACTGTAAAAAATCATGTATAGACAGCCCCTGCACTCTCCAAAGGCTCTGTCTCTTGTTGTACATCAGAAAACTGATGGATATTTTCTGACACTGGTGAGAAAGCTCCCTTACTGCAGGGGATCTCTGCCTACCTGTCATTCAAGCTCTCCTCGAGCTTGCACTTTTCATGCACTTTACTGTCAGCAGAGCCGGGCCATCCACAACATCTTCAAAACTCTAGAGCTGCTCCTCAGTGTGGATCAAAATCCCGTTTCCTTCCTCCTTGTGGGTAATGTCTTCTTTCTTGGGTACTTGAATCCTCTGGGCCATTTGAGTCTTCGGATTTAACCTGTTGTTTCATAGCTGAAAACTACCGAAGAGGATGGACTTCAGTAACTTGGACCAGACATGGCCAAATCATGGTTGCAGAAGGCTCTGCCTAGACAGACATGTTTCTTACCACCCCAGGGAATGTGTCCTCAGGCTCTGATGGGCTCACCTGTGCCTCTTGGGGTTTGATGGTATCAGCTCTGCTCCTGTACCTGCCCTTGCAACTTCTCTGCTCAGGTCTGCTTATCTCCCAGACTATGCAAAACCTGGACTTGCTGAAGCAGCCCTGCTGCTCTGCTGTTGGGCTCTGTGTCCCTTCCAGGTGCGGCTTAGGAAGGTGCTTTGCAGCTCACAGGAACAGCAGCATCCCACCTCTTCAGGAGCGCAGACTTGGGAAACATGTTTTTAGCAAATCCCATAAGGGCTTGCTGGTTCCTGCCCTGAGTACTGACCATGGATGATCCTGCCACATGCATCTTCTTGGCCAGTGAAGATGTGATCACATTCTGACTGCCCAGGGAAATCTAGGTCACCTGGAAGCCATAGTGGGAGTTTGCTTATTGTCCCAGCAGACAAATTAGGGTCAAGCCTCTGAATGGATATCTCTGTGTCATCTTATTCCCGATGGTTTTACTGTTAAAATGTATTCCAAGAATGTCCCCAAAAGATGGCTTGGAAAAATAAAGCAGCAAACTCCTCACAAATGCAGACTGCGACAGCTAAACTGCATTAGCAGTGTTCTGTATCCCACCTTGCCAGCACAGCTGAGCTCAGCAGAGTGGCTTTGGTGCCTGCAAGGGGTGGAGGTTAGAGACAACACCTACTGATGGCTGCCCTAATTATGCGCTAAAGACTTTCCCTTATACTGCTGTAGTTGGAAGCTTTAAAGTCTTAAACAGGTCTGCACAGAGCAGCAGGGGAGTGCAGGCACTATCACCTCTCCTGCACAGATCTGGTTGTGTGACAACATTTTGGTATACACAGAGATGATCCTGCTGAGACTCACCAGTCTGAAGGTGTTTTCGTAGCTTCCTACCCTAGTCTATCAAGCTAAGGGCTACTGTGGTAGGCCAAGCACTTGGAGTAGTGTGGTTTA